CAAGATCTACATCGATTCCAACAACAACCCGGAGAAGTTCCTGAAGGAGAACGACCAATACGACACTCTCACCGTTGGCAAGTACTGCGAGAAGCGTGACCCCAACCTGGCTTTCATCGCCTACAGCAAGGGACAGAATGACCTTGAGCTGATTCATATCACCAACGAGAACGCCATGTTCAAGGCCCAAGCACGTTACCTTCTGGAGCGAGCCGATTCCGAGGTTTGGGATTATGTCCTGAGTCCTAACAACATCCATCGCCGATCGCTCGTAGACCAAGTCACTTCCTCGGCTGTTCCTTCGTCCACCGATCCAGACAAGGTCTCTGTTGCTGTGAAGGCTTTCATCACTGGTGACATGCCTGCTGAGCTGATCGACCTGCTGGAGAAGATTATCTTGGAGCCAACTACATTCAGTGATAACCCGTCCCTTCAGAACTTGCTGATGCTCACTGCCTGCAAGTCCGATCGCGGTAGAGTTATGAACTACATCCAGCAACTCGATCAGTACAGCCCTGAGGACATTGCCCAGCAATGTATCGAGGTCGGCATGTACGACGAGGCCTTCGAGATCTTCAAGAAGCACGAGAATCACGTCGAGGCTGCCAACGTCCTCATTGAGCACATTGTTTCAATTGATCGAGCATATGAATATGCTGACAGGGTTGACACGCCTGAGGTGTGGAGCAGGGTCGCCAAGGCACAGCTGGACGGTCTTCGTGTCACGGACTCAATCGAATCTTACATCCGTGCCGGAGATGCATCCAACTACCTGGAAGTCATTGAGATTGCTACCCACGCTGGCAAGGACGAAGACTTGATCAAGTTCCTGAGAATGGCTCGCAAGACTCTTCGTGAGGTACCCGTCGACACCGCCTTGGCTTTCTGTTTCGCTCGTACCAACCAACTACCCGAGCTCGAGGACTTTCTCCGCGCCACCAACGTTGCAGATGTTGAAGCGTCAGGTGACAAGGCTTACGAGGAGGGTTACCATGAGGCGGCCAAGATCTTCTTCACTAGCATTTCGAACTGGGCGAAGCTTGCAACCACTCTTGTGCACCTGGAGGACTACCAAGCTGCTGTCGAGTGTGCCAGGAAGGCCAACTCCGTCAAGGTCTGGAAGCAAGTCAACGAAGCCTGCGTCGCGAAGAAGGAATTCCGTCTCGCCCAGATTTGCGGTCTCAACCTGATCGTCCACGCCGAAGAGCTCACCGATCTCGTTAAGCAGTACGAGCGCAATGGCTACTTCGACGAGCTGATTAGCCTGCTCGAGGCTGGTCTTGGATTGGAACGCGGTAAGTTTACCCCTCTGACAACTACCGTCCCGTTAAAAAATTCAACCCTTCAACAATCATAACCCGTGACAACTACACTATGTACAAGATGCTAACGCAGTCAATCTAGCCCACATGGGGATGTTCAGCGCACTTGGAGAGGCTCTAGCCAAGTACCACCCCGAGCGTGTGATGGAGCACTTGCGTCTTTTCTGGTCAAGGTCGGTTTTCGAGTAAACTTCGCTTATCTGCATTCAACTGACGGCCCATAGGATCAACATTCCAAAGATGATTCGTGCAACAGAGGAGGCCCATCTATGGTGAGTGCAATCGCGAACAACATTCGTGCCACTCGGTTCTAATATTTCTAGGCCCGAACTCATCTTCCTCTACGTCCACTATGATGAGTGGGACAACGCCGCCCTTGCCATGATGGAGCGTGCCGCAGATGCCTGGGAGCACCAAGCATTCAAGGACACCATCACCAAGGCTACTAACGTTGAGATCTACTACCGGGCTTTGGGCTTCTACCTTGAGGAGCAGCCAACTCTCCTGACCGACCTCCTGCAGGCTTTGACTCCCCGAATCGACGTCAACCGTGTTGTCCGCATGTTCGTCAAATCTGACAACATTCCTCTGATCAAGCCTTTCCTCCTCAACGTCCAGTCGCAGAACAAGCGCGAGGTTAACAACGCCCTCAACGATCTCTTGATCGAAGAGGAGGACTACAAGACACTCCGCGACTCGGTCAACAACTACGACAACTACGATCCCGTTGACCTTGCCCAGCGCCTGGAGAAGCACGACCTGGTGTTCTTCCGTCAAATCGCAGCCGACATCTACCGCAAGAACAAGCGATGGGAGAAGTCCATCACTCTCAGCAAGCAGGACAAGTTGTTCAAGGACGCTATTGAGACCTCTGCCATGTCAGGCAAGGCCGATGTCGTTGAGGATCTGCTCCGCTACGTAAGTTGGTCTCTGTACTCACCAAGTACCACACTAATCCGCAATACAGTTCGTCGATATTGGCAGCCGCGAGTGCTACGTTGGTATGCTCTATGCCTGCTACGACCTCCTCCGCCCTGACATCATTCTCGAGATGTCATGGCGCAACGGTCTGCACGACTTCACCATGGTATGCAAATACTCTTCCGTGTGTGCTTTGCAAATCACTAACGTTTCACCAGCCATACATGATCAACCTCATCTCCCAACAGACGGCCGCTCTCGAGATGCTCAAGAAGGACAACGAGGAGCGCAAGACCCGCGAGGTGTCGCAACAGAAGAAGGAGGACGACACTCCGATCCTTGGCTCGCGTCTCATGCTCACTCAGGGTCCGATGACTTCGGCCCCGTCCCCAGGTCCCTATGGACAGCCCAACGGCATTGCCCCGCAGCCAACTGGAGGCTTCCGCCCCTTTTAGACGCTGTCCAAATGGAGACGAGCTTGCTACTCCGCAAATGGGGGTAGTCAAGGGTTCTCTTCACACTACATATTGATGATTGGTGGAGCATGCAAAAGCGAACGGAGGGTTCATAGGTTTTGGGCAGTTTGCGGCAATGTACTCTACAGGCGTTCAAGGTGGCCTCTTAGTCTGGATGCTTCACATATAGAACATCTTCAGGCTTCTGTACTCTAGTTAATCACTTCATTTGCGCTGATATCTCGTATTCGCTGTGGATGTTCGCGTGTTGTGATCCCAATGATGTTGCACCCTGGAGTTGGACATGCATCACGAAGGTACTCACACCTGATGAATCGTTAGTATGTCAATATGATGACTGACGATCTTAACACCACGTTTCCGTCTCAGTATTCGCAATACTAGCATGATGTCACTATTGTTGCGACCATCACGCACCAATGAGAGTCCTGGGCAGTGACGGGTTGTAGAATTATGGACATGCCCGGCTCCTACATGCATTTATTGTGTACTGTACGAGATATCCGAACGTACCCTGGAGGTACTCACTACTAGGAGGACTTGCGCAGGCGTGGATTCGGCCAGTCGTTACGAATACAAAGCTTGTTTCTGGTTGAGCGTATCAATGCTGCGCAGGGCGAATACCTCCACGGGCCTTTTTATATTGGTGCTGGTGGTTGAGTATCACATATCCTTAGGCCTCGACTCTGCGTGGTACCACGCTAATCTAGGAAAAACCGAACATCCTAGAGCCTACGTTGATGCTGGGTCACCTACTTTGCAAGTTTTTGTTTTAATGTAATCTGCAAACATGTTCAGTTTCTTCTTATACGAGGTGCTACCATGGTTGAGAACGAAGAGGTCCACTTAAGACGGACCTGGCAGACCCCCGTTACCAAAGATCCAATTCCTACAGTACGCAACCAGACTTTGCACTACCTACACGTTTTTCGTCACGTGTCGATGGCGAGCCTTCCAAGGTTGGCTTTAGTTGTTCTCAACCTTGGTACTTAGCGAGTACTTTATGTCCTTTTCGAATAGCATAATCGCTATGACGAGCTGAGACACAATGCGATGCAGTGATACACGAAATGTCGATGTACCGTTGATCGAACCTTGGAAAGCACAACAGATACCCCGAGGACAGGCTGTGGTGACCCAAGAAAAGGTTTCTGTGTATGCCCACGGATAAATTAGCTCAACCGTTCGGGCGTCAATGTGCCAAGTAGCGAGTGTTTGAAGCTCCGTATCGCAGGTGCATGATCTTTGCCAAGCAATCTTGGAAGACTAGTACACGAGTAATGTTTCCAGATGCAGCCACTGAATGCCTCAAACGACCCCATCGTAAGCTAACGTCACCGGTTTCGAAGAGTCGCTCATAGCCAAGTCAAGTCTAGATCTACGTAACCATCTGTCATGGTGAGAGGCGGAACCGCATGGGCGTGATGCGCAGCCGGTAATAGCTCAGACCCATGTTCCGAATACTCCTCGCAGCTATGCAGGTACGCGGCCACGAAGCGAGGCAAAGGTCGGAAAAGTATACCGTGAACGAGGTTAAATAGCGAGGTTGCCCTCGACGGTCATAAGGAGCTCGGTAGAGGAACCTACGCCGAAGGAAAGCGCTGGATAAGCACGACATTTTTCCGCGATGCCGAGCTTTCTCCGATGCGGTAGACACTGCTCTGGCAGCTGGGCTGGAGATGGGATGATCTCGCGAATGGGTTGCCAGAGGGGTCAGAGTGGGTAGCGGTCAAGGTTTCATTGAGCGTCGACGACACCGGACGAGGTGCGTGTGGCTTTGGCTAGGCGCCCCACGTGCTTAGTGGGCGTGGGATATGTAGAGCAAAAAGGTTTTATACATGTTTAAGATTCTGGTACGCGGTGGGGCAGGGCCTGTGACGACGGTGACAATTTCAATCGTGTCGCACACGGGGTGGTTCCGTCGGCGAACCTTGTCAGTGCCCCTCCATTATCTCCCCGCGCGAGGGAGCTCTGGCCAGGTGGTGGCATGCAGCTATCCATGGTTAGCTTGGTTGCTTTTCAGGTGGCCGACGGGGTCTCTGCAGCGTGTTTCCATCTGGCTTGGCTGTGTGGATCTGTTTTGGGATTAAACTCGCGCTCTGCACATGGTTGAGCGAGTGAGTCGTAGCAAGTAGCAGACCCTGGATATCCGATAGTCGGTACCATAATAAATTGGCGCTGTATCCTACTTCTTCTGCGCCTTTCAGACCTCCCCCTCTCCTCCTCTCTCTCACTACCTCTACCCCCTCTCTTACCCCAATACACACAGCCGTCATTCAGCATGACGACGCTTGCAGTTGACCAGAACGCCTCGTCGGCCATTGACGAGAACGACTTCGACGAGGACCATGGCGAGCACCACCCCCACAGGAACTCGGTCCACCACAAGCTGCGTGCGAGCAGCTCCATCATGCAGCTGAAGAAGCTGCTGGGTACGTTGGCCGAGCACAATGGCTCACTCCTCGCTCTGCGGCGCTCTAACAGCTCTGCCAGTTGCCAACCGAGGAGAAATCCCCATCCGTATCTTCCGAACAGCGCACGAGCTGTCGCTGCACACTGTGGCCGTCTACAGTCATGAGGACCGCCTCAGCATGCACAGGCAAAAGGCCGACGAGGCGTACGAGATTGGCGCCCGCGGCCAGTACACGCCTGTCGGTGCTTACCTGGCGGGCGATGAGATCATCAAGATCGCGGTCGAGCACAACGTGAACATGATTCACCCAGGCTACGGCTTCTTATCGGAGAATGCAGAGTTCGCGCGCAACGTCGAGAAGGCTGGCCTCATTGTGAGTTTTACCGCTTTGTTTACGCTATGACGGAGCTGCGTGGAGGGGTCGCCGCTGCCTATCAGCCGCTGCTGAGCCTATCGCTCCCGCGCGAGATGAGGCATTGGCGGGGCCGATCCCCAAGCAGCCCGGCGCCGATCACCGCAGCGCCCATGGCCTTTTTTTTCCTACCCATGCAATATGCGACTCATGCTTACTTCTGCTTTTAGTTCGTGGGCCCCTCTCCCGACACCATCGACGCGCTCGGCGACAAGGTCTCGGCGCGAAAACTCGCCGTCAAGTGCAACGTCCCCGTTGTGCCAGGAACCCCGGGACCCGTCGAGAAGTTTGAGGATGTCAAGGCCTTTACCGACGAGTATGGCTTTCCCATCATCATCAAGGCCGCTTTCGGCGGTGGTGGCCGTGGTATGCGTGTAGTACGCGAGCAAGAGACGCTCAAGGACTCGTTCGAGCGCGCCACTTCAGAGGCCAAGTCGGCCTTCGGTAACGGAACTGTCTTCGTCGAGCGCTTCCTCGACAAGCCCAAGCACATTGAAGTCCAGCTTCTCGGTGACAACCAGGGCAACGTCGTCCATCTCTACGAGCGTGACTGCAGTGTCCAGCGTCGTCACCAGAAGGTCGTTGAGATTGCTCCCGCCAAGGACCTCCCAGTTGAGACTCGTGATGCTATCCTTGCCGACGCCGTCAGGCTTGCACAGAGTGTCAAGTACAGGAACGCCGGAACTGCAGAGTTCTTGGTTGACCAGCAAAACCGCTACTACTTCATAGCTATGTACTCCCGACGCCTATTTACAGGATGAAATAACTAATAGCCCTATAGAAATCAACCCCCGTATCCAAGTCGAGCACACCATCACCGAAGAGGTCACTGGTATCGACATTGTTGCGGCACAGATCCAGATCGCAGCAGGTGCATCTCTCGAGCAGCTTGGCTTGACCCAAGACCACATCTCCACACGAGGCTTTGCCTTCCAATGCCGAATCACCACAGAAGACCCTGCTCAGAGCTTCGCGCCTGATACTGGAAAGATCGAGGTGTACCGCTCTGCCGGTGGTAACGGAGTCCGTCTTGACGGTGGTAACGGTTTCGCCGGAGCCATCATCACCCCTCACTACGACTCTATGTTGGTCAAGTGCTCTTGCCGCGGTTCCACATACGAGATCGTCCGCCGAAAGATGCTCCGTGCTCTAGTTGAGTTCCGTATCCGTGGCGTCAAGACCAACATTCCCTTCTTGATCAAGCTCCTCACACATCCCACCTTCGTCGACGGACAATGCTGGACAACCTTCATTGACGACACTCCCGCTCTCTTCGACTTGATCGGCTCTCAGAACCGTGCCCAGAAGCTCCTCGCATACCTGGGTGACCTCGCTGTCAACGGCAGTCAGATCAAGGGTCAGATCGGTGAGCCCAAGTTCAAGGGCGTTATTCCCATCCCGGCGATCCACGACAACAACGGCAAGAAGGTCGACACCTCCGCACCTTGCACCGAGGGATGGAGGAACGTCATTCTCAAGGACGGTCCCGAGGGATTCGCCAAGGCTGTTCGCGCCAACAAGGGTTGCTTGATCATGGACACCACATGGCGTGATGCTCATCAGTCGCTTCTCGCCACTCGTGTTCGAACTGTTGACTTGCTCAACATCGCTAAGGAGACCAGCCATGCCTTCTCCAACGCATGGGCTCTGGAGTGCTGGGGTGGTGCTACTTTCGATGTCGCCATGCGTTTCCTCTACGAAGACCCCTGGGAGCGTCTTAGGAAGATGCGCAAGCTCGTACCCAACATTCCGTTCCAGATGCTCCTCCGCGGCGCCAACGGTGTTGCGTACTCCTCGTTGCCCGACAACGCCATCTTCCACTTCTGTGAGCAGGCCAAGAAGAACGGTGTCGATATCTTCCGTGTCTTCGACGCGTTGAACGACGTAGAGCAGCTTGAGGTTGGTGTCAAGGCCGTCCTCAAGGCTGGTGGTGTCGCTGAGGGTACCGTGTGCTACAGTGGTGACATGCTCAACCCCAAGAAGAAGTACAACCTGGAGTACTACTTGGATGTTGTCGACAAGATCGTCAAGATGGGAGCGCACATCCTCGGTATCAAGGACATGGCTGGTGTACTCAAGCCCCGTGCCGCCCGTCTCTTGATCGGTACCATTCGCGAGAAGTACCCCGATCTCCCTATCCACGTGCACACCCACGACTCTGCCGGAACTGGTGTTGCATCTATGGTTGCCTGTGCTGAGGCTGGTGCGGACGCTGTTGATGCCGCTATCGACAGCATGTCGGGTATGACTTCTCAGCCTAGCATGGGTGCCATCCTCTCATCTCTCGAGGGCACCGACTTCGACGCTGGTCTGGACGCACATATGATCCGTAACTTGGACGCATACTGGGCCCAGCTCCGTCTCCTCTACTCACCCTTCGAGGCCGGTCTTACCGGACCCGACCCCGAAGTCTACGAGCACGAGATTCCCGGAGGTCAGCTTACCAACTTGATCTTCCAGGCATCGCAACAAGGTCTTGGTGAGCAATGGGCTCAGACCAAGAAGGCGTACGAGCAGGCCAACGACTTGCTCGGCGACATCGTCAAGGTCACCCCCACTTCCAAGGTCGTTGGTGACTTGGCTCAATTCATGGTCTCCAACAAGCTGTCCTACGACGACGTCCTAGCCAAGGCTGACCAACTCGACTTCCCATCATCTGTCCTCGAGTTCTTCGAGGGACTCATGGGTCAGCCATACGGCGGTTTCCCCGAGCCCCTCCGCTCGCAAGCTCTCCGTGAGCGGAGAAAGATGGACAAGCGCCCTGGTCTCTACCTTGAGCCCGTCGATATTCCCAAGATCAAGGCAGACCTCAAGGCCAAGTGGGGTGATGCGACAGAGTGTGATGTTGCATCATACATCATGTACCCCAAGGTCTTTGAGGACTACAAGAAGTGGACCACTAAGTACGGAGATCTCTCCGTCCTGCCCACTCGTTACTTCTTGTCGCGCCCTGAGATCGGCGAGGAGTTCCACGTCGAACTTGAGAAGGGTAAGGTTCTCATCCTCAAGCTCCTCGCCATCGGTCCTCTATCCGAGCAGACCGGTCTGCGTGAAGTCTTCTACGAGATGAACGGTGAGACCCGTACCGTCACTGTGGAGGACCAACACGCGGCTATCGAGAACGTCTCGCGACCCAAGGCCGATCCCACAGACAGCAGCCAAGTCGGATCACCCATGTCCGGTGTTTTGGTTGAGGTCCGCGTCCACGATGGTAGCGAGGTCAAGAAGGGTGACCCGGTTGCTATTCTCAGCGCCATGAAGATGGAGATGGTCATCTCCGCACCACACTCTGGAAAGGTCAGCGGCCTGTCAGTACGTGAGGGTGACTCGGTCGACTCTGGCGACTTGGTCTGCAAGCTCGTCAAGTGAGCATATCGCTTGGATAGTTTGCTTTGTTTATGAGAGTTATGAAATCCAAGAATGGACATGATTAGATAGTAACGAATTACGGCGCTAGGATGCCATTTCAACTTCAAACTCGTTCATATGTTCTCTCTGATCGTGTCTGTGAACGTTGAACTACACGGCTTCTGAAGCTTTGCGTAGCTTTCACACAGATATTGATCGTTTATAAACTCTGCAAGGAAAGCCTTTCATCTTGTCCCAAGCCCCCAATTTCCAGTCTGCCCAGAAGCATACACCGCATTACAACTTAACATATGTTCAGGAGATCATAGGCCTAGGAGGTATCCAGTGGGGTTTGTCCCGGCTGATCCACAAGACATGCCGTAGCGTCTACATCAGGTCATAACGCAGTAAAGACAGGCCTCTTAACCCCATGGTTATTACTACACTGCTGCAAAAGGAAACCGCAAAGAAATATTTCACTCGCTACAGAGTACACATGGGACGAACCTGTACAGCATCGCATGTGTGTTGAGCTTCGGTAGTTGTTACACCGAAACAAAGCTACCACCACCCAACCCCAGACTCCAAGAAATGCAGCATAGCTAGCCTAGTCTAAACGGAAGGCCCTACCCGTATGCAGGTTCCCTTGAACCGAGCTCCAAACGCCCAAACGCCATGTCAGATCCAAGGGATCCACTCGATCGAACCACTTGATCGGGAGAAGCCGGAACGCAGCCACACCTCCTACAAGCTACAAGGAAGACACTGACCAGGCCTGCAGCCTACACTAGGACAAAAACAAGCAAACGAGAAGATCTAGCGTCAATGTAGACTCCAGGGTGTTTTGGTTTTCCCCTTGGATAGAATGATCTACCCCATGGAGCCAAAGTCAAGCTTCCGAGCTACCTTGTCGGCGCGACCATTGGTAGGCATCTCTCCGCCTCTCCGCTTCAGATCTTCTCCCATGGCCTTTGCCCCACCGCCTTCTTTGGGCAAGTTTTCTTTCTTTGTGGGCCGGGGTGCGTTGGTCCACCACTTGTCCTCTAGCGCCTTGCGAGCCGTGTACCTCTTCGCCGGGTCCAGTGTCAGTAAACCCTTGATGAAATCGCAGCCGTCGTCTCCCAGCGCAGGAAACTGTTGTTTCCACCACACGCGAGGACGTGTCTGTCTGAAGGCTGTGGAACCCTGTGGACCAGTTTGCTTCTCAGGCGCAACGTAGTATGGGAGGGAAGACACGCCGGGCCAGGTTTCCTCGGTCGGCGTTCCGAACTTCTCGCAGATGGTGGCGACTTGCTGGATGTCGGTGTCGGAGTAGAGAAACCAGTTGCGGATACAGAGTTCTGCCATTAGGACTCCGATACTCCACATGTCGGCCGTGCCGCCGTAGTGCGAGCAGCCGTACAGCAACTCCAGCGGACGGTACATGCGTGTAATGACCATGGTAGTCATCTTTGTTCCTGGATCTGCGAAACTCCGCGCAAGACCGAAATCGGCAAGCTTGACTGTTCCGTCGGCGGCGATCAGGGCGTTACTGCCCTTGATATCGCGATGCAGGACAAAGTTCTCGTGGCAGAACCAGATTCCTTGACACAGCATGTTCATCCAAGACTTGATATCCGCCTTTGTGTATGTGATTTCCTTGTTCTTCCAGAGCGCCTCCAGGTCTCCCAGGGGCAGATGTTCGAGTACGAAGGACAGGTTTTGGTCCTTGCTGGAGAAGACGTCGTGTAGTTTGATTACGTTTGGATGGTCGATCTCGAAGAGGAATTGCATTTCGCGGAGGGCGTCTGGGGCGATTCCGTTGGGGTACTCGGCGTTGAGTTTGATCTTCTTGATGGCGACGAGCTTCTTGGGGTTGTTGACGTAGTGGGCTTGGAAGACTACCGCATAGGTACCTTCTCCTAGTTTCTGGCCCATGACGAATTGGCTGCGCACCCGGTCGTTCATCTGCTCGGCAAGATCCATGCCTCTGTCTTGTGCTGGGGCTGTGGACGGTACAGCTGGTGACTTCGTGGGCTTGGTGGTGTGGCTTGGGAGCGCGAGGGTTCTAGCCTTGGACCCATCTTGAAAGGCTGCGCCGGGCGGGTTCGGCCGTGGGCTTAGAACAGCTGGTGATGCCATGGTGAAGTCGTGCGTGTAGCGGCGTGATTGAGGTGTTGCGACGAGGATGGATGATGGATGATGGAAGATGGCGATTGCTGGCGTTAGTGGATACTCCACAGCTCTCGTGAGGTAAGCGACCCAAAGTCCATACCGCAGTCCTCCTCTTTCAGACGGTGAAGGTGGTGGGCGCGTGGTTCGCGACTGCCGTTCGCGTTCCAGGGACCGCGGCGGCGACGATGCACGTCCCCGAACATTTTGGCTTGGCCGGGCTTTTCTGCGGGGAGCTTGCCCTCACCACCGACGCCCAGCAGCCGCATTCCACACATCATGGCTACTTCGGCGCGAGGACCGCCAGGCACTGTCGCCGTCTCCAAAGAGGGAATCCCGAATCGCACGTGAGTTGGCCTACATCCCAGTGCACGGCGTATATGCTGACATCAAGCAGATTATACGTGCGCAACCTTCCCGACAAGCTACAAAAAGAAGACCTTAAGCGGAACCTGTACATGTTGTTCGCGACATATGGCGTCATACTCGATGTTGTCGCGCTCAAGACCATGAAGATGCGAGGCCAGGCGCACGTTGTCTTCCGCGACGTCGATTCCTCAACACAGGCTATGCGCGCTCTACAGGGCTTCACTTTCTTTGGCAAGGACATGGTACGTGTTTCCCGAATTACAACCCAAGAAACCATACTTACACTACGCAGCAAATCGCATACGCAAAGACCAAGTCCGACACAGTAGCCAAGCTAGACGGCACCTACAAGATGCCCGAGCCGGAGCGCGAAGACGAGCCCGAACAAGCGTCTGCACAGCCCGCAGGCTTCGGTACCGCACCCGAGAAAGCAGTTCCGGTCAATGCACAAGACGCGGTCAAGGGACAGAAGAGAGGGCGTGACGAAGAAGAGGATGAGGACTCGGACGCGGAGATGGAGATGGATGTCAGCGACGACTCGGACTAGATCGTTAAGAATGCGTATGGAAGGATATGATACCCACGAGCAATGAACAGAATCAGAAGGGCACTTTAGAAGACGCGTCTATGTGTGTTATTGGAAAGCGTGTATGGGCAGACACCGTAGCTGTTCTCGGAGTGGTGCTGACTTGATACAGACCCGATCTCAGCTTCTTTCCGACGATCGACTAGTGTATGTCATCATCGTCGTGCGCTCAACTACATCGCTATATTTATGGTATAGCTAGATGGCCTTCGCAGAAGTCCTAAATAACTAGAAATTGAATGATAGGGCACCTAGGACCTCTTCGCTGAAGGTCTTACCACGCATCGAAAGACTATAGAAGAGCTAGACGGTGTTCAATAACCCATCACCTACCACACCAGCCTTTGAAATCCCATTGAAAACCTCCACCCTTCCTCATGCCCCAACTCTTTACGAATACACTTAAGCATGTTTGCTCATGCAAGCCTCGAGCAGGCCCAGCAGCTCAGACTTCCGCTTTTCCCCTATCCAGCTGCCGTGGATAGAATTGCTAACGATTATCCTCCATTCCTCCATACTCAAGTTGAAAGCCTCTTGCACCGCGCAATAGTTGTTCAGAATGTATCCACCAAAGTACGCTGGGTCGTCACTGTTGATACTGAACTTGACTCCTGCTTCGAGGAATGTCCTGATAGGTACCTGGCCGACGTTTTCCACAGCTTGGAGGCAGACATTGCTCAGCGGACAGACGGTCAGGAGTATCTCCTCTTTCACTACCCGACGGAGCAGTTCAGCATCTTCGGTAAGACGAATACCGTGATCGATGCGCTCAGCGTGTAGTGCGTCGAGTGCACCGCTGATGTACGTCGGATCTCCTTCTTCACCCGCATGCGCTGTCCTCCTCAACCCCATCTTCTCACCCTCGCGATACATATCGACAAAGAGCTCCGGGCGGAACCCAACTTCTGACGAGTCCAACCCAAGACCAGTAATAGCGCGCTCCTGACCGTCTCCACTCTCGAGGTCAAAGTGCCCACCCTTGACAGCCGCTGCCATAGTCTCCGCAGCCGAACTAACAGGCATGTGCCTCAGGAAACACATGATAAGACAACTCGTTATCCCCAGCTCTTTCTCCGCCCGTTTCCTTGCGGCATTGAAACCACGTACCACGACATCAAAGGCGATGCCCCTCTCCGTGTGACTCTGTGGATCGAAGAAAACTTCTGCATGGCAAACGCCGTCTCGAGCTGCTGTTGTGAAGTATTCCCAAGCTAGCATCTCAAAGTCCTCTTCATGCACTACCACTGCGATGCCGCGGTAGTAGTACGCCAGGAAATCGTCTAGGTTCGTGAAATGCGAGTACCGTTCTGTAAGTGTTGCGGGCGACGTGTAAGCGACATCTTCAGATGGAGATGGCAGGGTGATGTTGTTCTTAGAGGCCAGAGTGAAGAGAAGGCTTGGGCTGAGGCAGCCTTCGAGGTGGAGGTGGTGTTCGCATTTTGGGAGGTCCGCGAGGAAGTCGTGGGTGGCTGATTTGCACATTGTGATTTGTTTGTATAGGAAACTTTAGGAAATGCGTTTGTTGGATTAAATGTTCGAACAAATTCGGTTTCTGGCGTTTTTGAAAGATTCTGTTTTCTAAGATTAGTTCTATCGGAGGCGGACGGGCATTGTCGGTGTTCGCCGGTTCTTGCTAGGATGATGGAGAACATCCAGCTAGAGGGTGGATCCTAGATTGGACTTGCAAGGCAGATGCGCTCTATGCGAACACAGTTTGGTGGAGCCTGGAAACCTCACTTGAAATATTTATGCCGCATAGATATATCGTCCATTGCCTCCAAATGCTAGTCTAGGCTGTCACATCTTATCGAAGTTCGCGTTTTTGCCCAATCGCTCGTGGCTCGTACATGGTTTCCACAAACTCTTCTAGCAGACCCTCACTCTCCGCATCTTGTCGAGTAGAAGAACCCGTCCC